TGTATGCGAACTTATGAATATTCTTATAAGCTCATTGTCTTCATAAAGTTCGGACTATATTTATTTAATATTATCAATATTTAATGCAAAATGATTAATAAAGATTGGACTATGCAATTGACCAATGTCTAATTTTTCAGTTTATGGTACTGCCTGATGTGTCTTCTCTTTGTTGACAATTGTGTAAAGCCTTTCCTACAGATCTCACAAGTATATGGCTTTTCTCCAGTGTGAGAATTAAGGTGATCTTTTAGGTGCAGGCCCGCTTTAAAAGATCTATCGCAATATGGACATTTGAATTTCCTCTGAGTTTCTTGATGGAGGTGTGGGCCTTGGAAGGTGATATCTCCATAACTGTTTGGCTGATCATGTAGATGTTTAAACAGCTGTGATTGACTCATCCCTGAAACAAAATAAAAAATATATTTTAAATTCTTATATGTATGTGATACATTCATATAACAAAATAAAATTAATATAAATGGGCATCAACATTTTCACTGGATTACATAATGGCACATCATATTTACTACTCGTATGAAACTTTTTTAGTTCGGGCAAAATTTAAAAATCTCATATTTCAGAAAAATGCAAATTTCAGGATTATATTACGACCTACATGTATGTCGAAATTTGTCATGGTGTTTCTTTTCAGTAATTTTATGATTTCCCAATATGAGTTTTTAATACCACTTCATACATGTCATATATACTCTTGTAGCAGGTTTTTTCCTCCGCTTGAATGCTCATAATATACCGTATGCAAGGTTAAGAAAATGTAAATAAGAACTCAGGGGCAAAGTGAAGTGATGACAAAGAAACCTACACAGAAAGTTGCACATTTTCTGGAAATTATGCAGCGGGCTTCAGGAATTTACTTCACTTTGAAGCGATACATAAAGTGCATACTATGATGACAAAGACTGCGTTGAGATGTAGACACACCCCTTAGATATATTCTCGGTGAACACCTGTGATGTTACTATTTATGTATATATTTTTTTCTTTTTCTGTGTTTTTTCTGTTTAAAACAAAGTACCAAATTTACATATCATAAAAATAGCAATCACAAAAATAAAGTACAGTTTAACAGTATCCGTTGAAAATCTTTGACTCGTGAGCTGTTCCTCTTACAATTCAAGGATTACTTTTACATTAAGTTAATCGGGAGAGGTAGATCTAAAAGTGGTCCACTTTGGAGGTATGTGTCCTGCTTTCAGAGGCATATCACTCAACAGGTTTTGCTGTAAGTATATTCAAAATATGAATTATCAAATTCCAGGTATATTAGTCTCAGGTTACAAAAATATAACAAAATTCCAACTAAAATACGTTTTTGTTTATTTATTATTGAATGCAGAATTAAGAACACAAATATGCGTGTACAACGATGATGCATTTTAATTACTCTAACTACAAGTTAATTTTACAAAAGTATAATAAGAAAAACAATTATTTACATTACTAATATCACATTAGATGGTGCTACTTCCTTGAGGATAGTAGCAAAATGACCTAAACTATAAACTTAAATCAATATTTCTGCCATTATATTATTAAATTAAATTTGACATAAATTATAAAATCGAGGTCTTTGATCCGATTCTAATATGATAAACATACAAGAAACACAACTATTTGCATATATGAATTTAAGCGGTCATACATACTCCAATATACAAGTAGAACAGAAAATAAATTGTTCTAGCTATTGTGACATCACGTATCATATTAAAATATAAATTATATCAGTTGTCTCTAGAAACGGGGACACTAGTCTATGGTAAAAATCACAAGTCTAGACTTACTCAAAAACAAACCATTTATTTTTCTATTGATTTCCATGTTAATTGACCCTTTATTTAAGGAGCACCTGCCAACTGGGAACAAGGAAGACGGGTTTGTGGTGAACTTTGAAAATTCATTTATTCACAAAGAGCATTGATAATTGTATCCTCTCCTACACTCTTTTGGTTATGCATTCTTTTCATAACAGATTTATGGGTCACTGGATGTTATTTAAATATGTAGTGTTAAGTAAAACGTTTAGAAGTAAACCATTTAATGAATACAATAACTACCTTGATAAATTATCGCTTTACTTCAAAAGTTAAGTTTATCAGTAATGTAAGGTTTATGAAAATTGCAAGTGTTTGAAAATTAAACATTTTTTTGAAATCATCTTTGTATTTAATAGTCAGTGCATACCGACAATGAAAATAGAGGGAAGCGTTGCCGTGGTAACCGGAGGAGCTCGTGGAATAGGGAAATCGATAGTGGCATCTCTACTCAAACTTGGAGCAAAAGTGAGTTCACGGTACTCTTGATGTTAGTTTGATATGTACTCTAATAATTTCGAACCAGTATTAATTAAGGTTTCTAATAGTTTTTCTCTACTTACTGCTTCCAGTAGAATTTCTTCAAAATAAACAGAAATCCCACATTTATTTTAACCTAGATCCTTTGTCATCATTACCATCTATGTAATATAATGTAAAGAAAGAGCTTGGTAGATGGACTAGTAGGTCTAGTAATCCTGAAAGAAAATTCACGTCTTCTGGAAGGATTTTCTATGGTTTTTGTACTTTTAACCCATGTATCAGATGTAACTAAGGAAATTTTAGTTTCAGAGGCAATCTGCCACCTAGCTGATGTTACATAGATGCAAATATATAATGTTAACATGGCTAGCAATGTCACAGAGGTTATGTTAACACGGATAACAATCTCACATAAATAAGTCATATAAACATGAATGTGACATATATAAATATAGTATGGGGACCAAAGTCTAACGTCTGTTCTTTTAAATAGAATATATGTGAGTGTCCCATTTTCTGCCAACCCTATACGAGGGTTGTCCCATAAGTCTTGAGAGTTTTATTCTAATTCATAGAATAGTTAATATACAATGATGAAAATTTCACATCTTGTAACTTGGATATATATCTCAGTAAGTTTCAAAGCATAATAAGATCTTTTGGTATATAACAGATGATTTAAAATGGAATGTCTGGGGTACCCAGGGCAGAAAACAGTGTAAAATTTGTACTTTTTCTGCTCCTCTGTCAGAACATGTAGGACGAATCTAGATGCTACCATTGACATCCCAAGGTCTTTCTTCATCGCCCTGTTAGCAGTACTCTTACAAATGTCAAAATCTAGGGCGATCTTCCAACAAGTAGTTCTCCTTTCAGCCCTTATACTCTCTGCAATATGTGTTATGAGATCTTCACTGGATTTTGGCCTCACACTTCTAGGAGCATCCTCCAGGCTGGTATAGTTTTTAACGTCTTCTACCACCTCCATATTGTAGGTGCATTCGGAGTATACTGTCTATATACTTTTGCCATGGCTGTCCTTGTTTGTGTAGGTCTATGCCCTAAGGAGGCATCTTATTGCACGGCTGCACACAAAGATTTAACACCTGGTGACAAAATCCCTGCCATTTTGATTTTCAATATGCTGTGTCTCTGTACCAAACTTGACCAATTGTGCTAGTTTATATAACATCTCAGAGGTATTTCACAAGATTTTACTAAGAAAAGAGCGTTTTTGTCAATCTTGACAGGTGCTTCACAATTTAAGATGCATACCATCCTTTAAAATCCTTAATACTCTCATGGTTCCATTTCACAATTTCACTATATTTCATTACTGCCCCCCCCCCCCCCTCCACTCCCCCGGTTATGATAGCAACCATAATATGTCAAGTTCTTAATTTTGTTATGAAACATACCAATTTTCAGCCAAATTCATTAAAATCTTTTTGATTAGAATAAAAATTCAAGACTTATGGGACAACCCTCGTATATGCTAGAAATATCTAGCAAAACACAGGAAACTGTTTTGATATGGTCAATATTAAGGAACAATATAAAATAACACGCATAGAATGCCTGTCATTTTTCAAAATGGGCACTCACAAGCTAGCCAATTTAAAAGAAAGTGTAAAATGCTTCTAATAATTCACATTTAAATTTCATCAAAATTTCATGTTAATACATTTTCTCAAGAATACAAACATTTAAATTATTTTTGAAAAAAAGGTATGCAGTGTTGATGTAAACAGTGCGGATGGTGAAGAAACAGTTGAAGATTTGAAGCAAATTTACGGAGACAGTGTGATATTTCAAAAATGTGACATCACAAAGGAAAATGAAGTCAGAAGTAAGATAAATGTTTCACTTTTTTGCACTGTGATTTAAAAACATCCATTACATATATTACAGTGGCGGATCCAGGAATCAACGGGGGGGGGGGGGGGGGTAAAAATAAAAAGTTCCGCCCAAAAATTGTTTGTGTCCTTTATTTAAGAATTTGGGCCCAAATTTTCAAAATATTATGGACCGACCAAGCATTTTTGGGCCCTAATTTTCTTAAAAGGCCAACATTACATGTTGCATCGTCCTCTAGAACGTCGGGGACCAACAAAATCTAAATATGAATCGACGTATATCTGCAAATATCTACACAAAATAACCAAAACAAATGGATGACAACATCGTCTAGAATGTTCCCCTGCACTATAGCCTAATTAATAGAAGCTTACCAGTTTATTTTGATATATAATACGATTTGCATAGCAAATAATAACTTGAACTTGTTCAGATCCTGGCTTGTGGGAAATCACAACAGTTAGTGCTCGATGGTGAATCAAGTTCAAAAACTCCAGTAAAATCAGGAGTTCCTCAAGGAACAGTTCTTGGACCACTCTGTTTCCTTGTTTATATTGCAACGACCCACCGTAGGCAGGCGTAAGGGGTTGGATAATTAAAGTGTGTTGGAGAAAGTTAATTGTCGGGAAATGATTTTATTACGCAAACCCTTACTTCTTACCTAATATTGCCACTTAGTGCTAACATTCACCATCTAATCTATCTATGGCCAAATTCCCGGGAATTTCGAGCGCATTTCGTTCAGTGTTACCCCCAACACTTGTAATACCCCAGAATGCTCCTTGTCAATTATTTCGCCATCTTGTTTTCACGAAAGACGTAGTTTTTTTGTTGAGAATAAATTGCAAAATTAGAGTTCATCATGGACTCAGATCTGAATAAAGATCATCAGAAAGGTTCATCAGCGATCGATGAATCTAAAGAATCTACAAAACAAGATGAATCAGGGAGAGATGAGAGCTCAACAGGCAACGTTTCAAGGGGTTATAGTCAGTCCCCAAAGAAACGTAAACAAGAAAAAAGAAGACAGAGTTCTTCACGTAGCTTATCTCCAAGCGCTTCAAAGGGTCGTCAGTCCCGTAAGAAGCATAAGGTAGCCCTTCATTCTTCTGAAAGGAGTGTTAAGTCTCCTATCAAAAAGAAATCTAAAAAATCTAGATCTAAAAAGAAAAAACAAAAAGTTCGTCATCATAGATCTAGATCTTCCAGTTCTTCTTCTGTGACGTCGTCATCTTTGTCACAGACTAGAAGACATGAACATAAACGTCGTAGACGTAGCCCTAGTCCCAATGGGTCCAGTTCTTCCTCTGTGTCTTCGTCTTCTTTGTCACCTAAGAGAAAGAATAAAAGAAAACGCCATAGACCTAGTCGTAGTTCTCATCGTCGTCGTCGAGATTACAGGCGTTATTCTTCTTCCTCATCTAGTTCATCAGACTCTTCAAGGTCAGATGATAGAAGAAGGTATTACAGACATCGTCGTAGACCCTCGGTTGATTCATTTAGTCCATCAGAGAGAGGTAGAAGGAGACATCGTTTGTCTAAGTCTCCTTCACGACATAGTCATAGGCGCCGTAACAGGTCTTTTTCAAGACCACGTCAGTTGGTTCGTAGGTCCATTTCTACTCAACGGCAACCTGGTATGTCACATAACATTAGTCATTTTCCTCGGCAATTGTCACCCACACAATCTCCTGTTAGATTTGACAGAAATGTTATGGAACGAACTAATTCTATAGTAAGTTCAGAGATGAGCAAATTCTGCTCACCTCCTCATGTCAACAGAACTTCTAGATTAGACAACGACTTTGACGAGGAAGATGATGATGTCATTGTGGATATGCCTTTAAGGGAAGAGTTTTCAAAGGCTATAAAGCAGGTACATGAAACTTTCCAAGACCTGATTGGAGACTTAACTCCATCAAGAGATAAGTCTCAATCAAAGTCTCTCGTTAGAGACAAAACTCCAATTTCCTCGTCTTCGTTGGAATTACCTTTTTGTCCAGGGGTGAAACACAACTTAGAAGTTAATGCAAAGTTGTTCACAGAATTACCTCAAAATGCCTTCAAAAAGGATTTTCACAATTTTGGTAATAAGCGTTTCAAGATCTCCAAAAAGCTTTATAAGGTAGTCCCTGAGACCAAGGCACAGGTCAAACCATGTGAGGTTGATGAGGATTTTTCAACCATTTTAGGTCCAAAGTTTCAATCAACAATCTTGTTGATAAAGATACAAAGTTACCAAATTCTGATACCAAGTTAGAACCACGTCCATTTATAAACTTGAAAAACGTATCAGAATGGGAACGTGTATCTAGAGAACAACTGTGTACAGCTTCTCACACAGAGTGGTTTGTTGGTTCTGTTCGACCTATTTTGGAAGAAATGTTGCAAGATGAATCTCTTGATAGTGCCAACAATGATAAAATTGATAAATGTCTAGCTTTAGTAAAAGCAACAGGGCATTGTATCGAAGATGGGTATAGACTAGGTTCCCACCTTCTTTCTCAGTTCGTTGGAGTACGTAGGCATTCTTTACTCAGTCTGAGAGCTGACAAAGAGACTCCTTTTTCGGAGATGAAGACAATGATGTGTCTTGAACCACATGCTGGTAAGCTTTTTCAGGGCAAAATTTCTGTTGTGAAAGATGCCCTGAGGGAAGCTAAGCAAGATAAAGCACAGAACCAGGTTCTAACCTTTACTGCCACAAATCAAGCCTCCGAGTCTTCTAATCCCAATCAGAAGAATACTAATTCTGGTAACCAGCCGTTTCGTGGTAAGGGAAGAGGCAGTAATAGAGGCAGGGGTAGAGGTTTCAAATCACAGTCCAACGATTTCCAAAAAGGAAATCGTGGGAAAGGACGTGGTAAACAACAGTGACTTGTTGAAGGTCGGAAACGTTTCCATTCTTCCTGTACAAGTGTTTGTAGGCCCAGTAGGGGCAAGACTACAAAGCTTTTGGCCAAATTGGAAGTCAATAGTAACAAATCATTTTGTACTCAATATTCTAAAGGAGGGCTACTTTCTTCCCTTCATAAAGACCCCAAGTCTTACAAGAGTTCCAATTTGGTCAGATTACACAAACAATGTAAAAAGGGAAGCTATTTCCGACCTAATATCAAGACTATTGGCCAAAAGAGCCATAGTACAGGTCACAGAGCTAGAGTCTCCTGGGTTTTACAGTCGGGTATTCATCGTACCAAAAAATCATCAAACAGATTGGAGACTGATAACAGACTTATCCATCTTGAACACTTACCTTCACGTCCCAAAGTTCAAGATGGATACTATCGAGGTCATAAAGAAACACATGAAACAAGGAATGTGGATGTGTTCCATCGACCTTGTAGATGCGTATTTGCATGAACCGATTGCAAAAACGCATCACAAATTTCTACGTTTTGCTGTAGAAAACACAGTTTACCAGTGGAGATGTCTCCCGTTCGGGGTATCAGTAGCTCCTTTTCTGTTTACTCAGATAGTTTCAGTGTTGAAAGTTCTTCTTCACAAGCAAAATATACTGATTTTTCAATATCTCGACGATTGGCTCGTTCTCGCAGAATCCAAGGAGATCTGCTCAAGCCACACACAGTTAGTTCTAGACCTACAAAGAAGTTAGGTTTTCTGGTAAACGAGAAGAAATCAAACTTAGTGCCAAGTCAAAATCTCGTTTATCTAGGACCAGGCTTCGATCTAAAACGAGGAGTTGTTCTTCCAACAATGAGTCGGAAAGACTTATTAAAACAGGAAATAGGGAATTTCCTGGCCAAACAGAAGCAAGAAGCTAAAGTTTGGCAAAGAATTCTAGGTCTTCTTGCTGCCACAGAGAGATCCGTTCCCCTGGGACGTCTCTTTATGAGAGAGATGCAATTCAATCTTCAGATTGGAATCAGTCTTGTCAGGATCAGTCAGTAGAGATCCAATGGTCTCAAAAGACACAACAAAATCTAATTTGGTGGACACAAGATCAGAATTTGGACAAGGGAACACCTTTAGAGTTGCTAGTTCCCCAGAGAAAACTGTTCACAGACAGTTCTCATTATGCATGGGGGGCTCACCTAGAAGGTCAAGAGACATCGGGGATATGGACAAAAGGAGATTTAGATCTCCATATCAATCTAAAAGAATTGATGGCTATTCAAAAGAGTCTGGTGTTTTTCCAGCATCTTTAGATAGGCAAGGTAGTACAAGTAGCATCAGACAGTGTGACAGCTGTAGCCTACTTAAAAAACCAGGGAGGAACCCACTCTTATCAGATGTTTCTAGATGCAAAGAATATTCTAATGTGGGCACACAAACATCAAATTCTTCTAATTGTCAGACATATCCCAGGTCATCTCAATGTAATTGCAGATTACCTATCGAGACAGCATCAGATAATTGCAACAGAATGGTCTCTGAATCATCAGGTCTTTCAGGATCTTTGCAAGATCAGGAATCGACCTCTCATAGATCTTTTTGCAACGAGACACAACAACAAGATCCCAACTTTTGTGTCCCCAGTCCCAGACCCATTAGCATGGGACGTGGATGCAATGTCCATAAATTGGACAGGCCTGTGGAGCTATGCATTTCCACCAACAGCTTTGTTAACAAGAGTCCTACAAAAGTCCCAGACTCACAAGGAAGTGCAAATAATTCTAATAGCACCTTGTTGGCCCAAGCAAAGTTGGTTTCCAATGTTACTGGATTGTCTGGTAGATCATCCGGTAAAACATCCAATGTTTCAGAATTTACTGAAACAACCTCACAGGATGATTTTCCACCAGAATGTTCAGGCTCTTCAGCTTCACGCCTGGAAAATATCCAGCAACGTCTCCGAGAGAAAGGCTTTTCGGAAGAAGTTGCAAAACGTATCTCGAAACCTCAGAGATCCTCTTCAGTTAGACTCTATGATTCAAAGTGGAAAGGATGGGTTGATTGGTGTAATACAAGGAAAATTAATCCACTCGAACCATCTGTGATTAAAATAGCTGACTTCTTCAATTGGTTATTTGAGTTCAAAGGTTTCCAACCGACTACCATTGCAGGATATAGAACTGCTTTTGCTAATACCTTTAAGCAATAAGATTGAGTAGACATTAGTGCTGATCCTATGTTAAAAAATCTCTTGTCTAATTTCAAACAAGAAAGACCAAGAAAGTAGTATACGGCGGGCCTTTCGACCCCCTACCGGCACCAGTACTTACACTTACACCGGAAGTTACACTTACACCGGAAGTGACATCATAGGTCACGTGTTGAAAGTGACGTCATAGGTCACGTGTTCCTTACACTTACACCTGGTGACATAACTGGCTCAAAGGTTACTGATAATTGATAAGAGAGTGGTTAAGTGATGATAAGCTATCTGTCTACTTCATGGATGTTTCATTGTTATAGGTCAAAGGTTGATAACAAACTGATAAAACAGTGAAAAAGATAACTGCACAACAATTTCGACCAATCACATGGCTGTAATATATCAATTTGACCAATTATATTTGACACATACTTCATAGGTTGTATAAGCTGTAGAACCATCATGCCACTTTATATCACTGGTCAAAGGTTACTGATAATTGGTGCAAGATCAAGGGTTTCTGATAACTGATAAGATATTCAAACAAACACTGTTAAGGTAGTTTCCACTTCCACCGGAAGTGACGTCATAGATCACGTGGTAAGATGATGCACCGGAAGTGGAAGTGACGTCATAGGTCACATGGTTACTGATATAAGGTATGAGGTTCCATATCCATCCGCCAAAAGGTATATTCCCTATATAGTCCATTTAAAAACTCGTGGTATTGTTCTAAATAACGCCATAGTTGGCTTCTAGGGTACCTAGTATGCCACTATTTGGTATCAAAATAAAGAGGAGGAGTTCAACTTTCATTTGAATTACGAAAATAGCGATGTAGGTCAAAAATAGTTCCGGCGTGAGCATGTTTACTACGCGTTTGCCCATCATATCAGAATTGAGGAAGTGGTAGCAAACGCGAGTCACAATAAATGGACGCTGATATCTCAAAAAGTAACCTGACTCCCTATAATTTGATGTAGATCAATCGAACCCCTATATGAACAGGTACATTTTGATATATAACACTATGGGGGGTAAGCGTTTTATAGTTGGTCACGAACGCCATATGTGCAAAGTATTGTTATGAATTTTCGAATTTGGTGTTGGATTACGGTACTCATACCTTAACTGGTCAAAGGTTTCTGATAATTGATAAGAGAGAGATAATAAACTGATAAGACCATGAAAAAGATAACTACCATGGTTTCTGATATAACTGGTCAAAGGTTACTGATAATTGATAAGAGAGAGCTCAATTGATAAGATAATCAAACATTCACTGTTAAGGTAACCTGGTGACTATGTGATAAGTTATCTTGTTTACTTCATGGATGATCGTCAAAGGTCACATATACGTCATAGGTCACATGTTCCATGTTCCACGGGAAGTGACGTCATAGGTCACGTGTTCGACTTCCACCGGAAGTGACGTCATAGGTCACATGTTTACATGGTGTACTGGGAGGGATAGAACTGGTGAAAGGTTACTGATAACTGATAAGAGAGAGCTCAATTGATAAGATAATCAAACAAACACTTTTAAGGTAACCCGGTGACTATGTGATAAACTATCTTGTCTACTTCATGGATGTTTCATGGTTATAGGTCAAAGTTTGATAACAAACTGATAAAACAGTAAAAAAGATAACTGCAGAAACATTTCAACCAATCAGGTTTTGACTTGCAGAATCATTTTAACCAATCAGGGCACAGTATGTTTGGATTATTTTAACCAATTATGTTTAGAGTTTCAGAATAATTTTAACCAATCGGGTTGCGGTATATTCTCATCCAATCAGATAAAAGAAAATCACTCAATAGAGGAGAATT